TTTCTTGATTTGAAGAACCTTCGTCCTCCTCTGCCTTTTCCTTTTCCTTTTCTCTTTCCTTTACCTTTGCCTCGTCTGATGTATTTGCCTTGGAACCTTCTCTGATACCATGTGAAGTTGGCGTCATCATAAACCCAGAAAACATCTTCTAAAGCATCCAGGAATCCTTCTGCGCCGTCTTCTTCATCTTCGGCCCAATAGCCGTCGGTTCCTTCTAATTCACCTTCATCCAGTACGAGGAAAGATCTTCTCTGTGCCATGCCAGAGGGTTGCATCAATGGATTGTCAACTGCTGTTTTGGTAGTGCAAAACATTTCCAAAAACAGGTCACGTAGTTCTTGAATGTTGTATCGATCGAGGGTTCGTCCACGATGTGTCATGATACTTGTGAGCGTGTTTCTCTGATCTTGACTCAGGTCAGCTAGACTAGCAAATTTTCACCCAGTGGGAATGCTTGTCGCTGTGCTTCTCTACGATTTTCCTGAAATTGTCTGAATGCCGCTAGTGCCAGTTCATCTGTCCAAGGAACAGCTACATGGGGTGTTCCTGAGGCTGCTGCTATTTCAGCTCTCTCTTGTTGATCTCGTTCATGTTCTTGACGTCGTTGTTGAACAAACAGAATTGCTTCAGGACTAGTCACTGTTACTTCTGGAAGTAAATCCATCCAAGACTCAATAAAGTCTATTGCCAGTGAGTTGAAATCTAGTCATCCACTTCTGAAGATCCATGGTTCCTCTGTTGAACTTCATGAACTGCATGAAACGGTATAAGAACACGTTCTGGGCACCCTTGATGAAATGAGGTCGTAGAAATCTTTTGAAATAAGCCACTCCTTCATAGGGATCCCTGAGTAATTCTCTATCCAATAGCCTCTTGTATTGTTGAGCATCTCCTTCCAGTCTGTTGCGCAATGCTGGACCACGTTTCTCTGGTTCTAACTCCGTAATGTCACACCAGTCATCAATTGCATCCTCAAAAGCAAAGAAGCTGATTCGCCCATCATAGGCTGGAGCAACCTTTGTGGTCATCTGTTGCGTCATATGAATCTGTGTATGCTGGGGTGCTCTTCTCATTGCATAAGAGTCATATTGGTTCCATTCATTTGCATCGACAATGTCGAAGTCATCATCATCATAGCCATGGCTTGCCATTTCTTGGGCTCTACCTGGAGCTCACCCTCAATCAGGGATCACTGCTCCGCTACCACTTGAAGAGGGGCCCTAGCGTCTACTTCAAGATCAGCTAAGGCGTCTTCCCCAATGACAGCACTCTTTTACTCTCAGCCTGTTGCCGGTCAGTGCTTGTCTACAGGGTTACTCTATATACCTCTTTCTTGAGCCTTGAAGGCGCATATAAATGTGCTCAATACTCATGCGTGTACCTATGTAGGTATTAGGTCGAAACAAAAACAAGGGCGCAGCGCCTCCCCCCGCAATGCGTACCAAGAGAGAAGCACATAGGCACAAGTCTCGATGGATATCAGCAAAGATGAAATTAACCCAAATAAACGATGATGCTTATGCAAAAAGAAAGGAATAGTAGGTATAGCAAGGGGAACCGGTTTAAAAATAAAAGCGGGTGGGGGGGTGCAGGGGGGAGGGCGCAGCGCCTCCCCCCGCAATGCGTACCAAGAGAGAAGCACATAGGCACAAGTCTCAATGGATATATAGCAAGCAAGAACGACAAGATCAAGAAGGAAGCACATAGGCACAAGTCTCGATGGATATCAGCAAAGATGAAATTAAACCAAATAAACGATAATGCTTATGCAAAAAGAAAGGAATAGTAGGTAGCAAAGGGAACCGGTTTAAAAATAAAAGCGGGTGGGGGGGTGCAGGGGGGAGGGCGCAGCGCCTCCCCCCGCAATGCGTACCAGAGAGAAGCACATAGGCACAAGTCTCAATGGATATATTGCAAGTAAGAACGACAAGATCAAGAAAGAAGCACATAGGCACAAGTCTCGATGGATATCAGCAAAGATGAAATTAACCCAAATAAACGGTGATGCTTATGCAAAAAGAAAGGAATAGTAGGTAGCAAGGGGAACCGTTTTAAAAATAAAAGCGGGTGGGGGGGTGCAGGGGGGAGGGCGCAGCGCCTCCCCCCGCAATGCGTACCAAGAGAGAAGCACATAGGCACAAGTCTCGATGGATGTTTTGAAAGAAGAAGAAAGAGAAAATGAACCCTAAGAAACGATGCTTATGAGCAAAAGGCAAGAGAGTAGGTAGCAAGGGAAGCTGATGAAAAAACAAAAGCGGGTGGGGGGGTCCCCTGCAATGCGTACCAAGAAAGAACATGAAAGAAGTACATAGGCACAAGTCGCGATGGAGATCAATGAAGATGAAATGAACGCAAATAACCGATAATAAGTGTTGACTGCACACATGGTCCTTCCTTCCTTCCTTCCTTCTTTCCTTCCTTCCTTCCCTCCTTCCCTCCTTCCCTCCTTCCTCCTTCCCTCCTTTCCTCCTTCCCTCCTTTCCAACTTCCCTCCTTTCCTCCTTTCCTCCTTCCCTCCTTTCCTCCTTCCCTCCTTCCTTCCTTCCTTCCCTCCTTCCCTCCTTCCTTCCTTCCCTCCTTTCCTCCTTTCCTCCTTCCCTCCTTATTTCCTTTCTTCCTTCCTTCCTTCCTTCCTTCCTTCCTGCCTGCCTGCCTGCCTTCCTTCCTTCCTTCCCTCCCTCCTTTTCTCCTTTCCTCCTTCCCTCCTTCCCTCATTTCCTCCTTCCCTCCTTTCCTCCTTCCCTCCTTCCTTCCTTCCTTCCCTCCTTCCCTCCTTCCTTCCTTCCCTCCTTTCCTCCTTCCCTCCTTTCCTCCTTCCCCCCTTTCTTCATGGTCATTTATTTATTTTTGATGCATTTATAGTTTTTTTTGATGCATCTTTATTTTTTTTGATGCATTTTTATTTTTTTTGATGCTTCTCCCGATCGTTCCCAAAGAGGACCAAAACCCCTTTTCACCACGCCATTTGGTGGAAGATACCACTGTGACCGTGAATGTCATGGTCTTAGACATGCCAAGGAAATTTGTCTGACGCCACGATGTCACAGATGTGGCCCACAGCCAGACGTTCCCCAACATAGGCTGTATGCGATCTCACATGGATATGCACTTCATGTTGATTAATTATGAGCATTGTCGTGATGCGGGATCCAATGGTCCACTCCGGGCCTTCAATCCATGTGCGATTTGCTGCACTGCAGATGATAGACTTGTTATGACTTGTTTAGAGGGCTTGAGCTGAATATGTGGTCAGTGGAACTGATCACATAGGGGGAGTGCGTGTAAGAATTCCATGCATCCCTATTTACCAATTCTCAAATGGAAATACTTCCACTTTTGCTTTGACTTCAACCCACCGGGTGTTGTCCAGACTTCAACTCACCGGGTGTTGTCTAGGAATCCTGAAGAACCTGCATCTGGGCCGGGCCGAAGCCTTTTAGATGTCAAGCGGCACAAAGGTGCGTCAGCTAGCAGCGAGGTGGCTGCTTGGAGTTTTGGGGAAACTTGGTTTTGTTTTTTGGGTTGAAACATTTCTTTTTTCCGGTTGGGGTCGGGATCTCAGTTGCTGTTCAGGGTTCCAGGACGGTTCACTTGTTGGCATTGGGAGGCTTCAGGAAACACAGAAACCATGGAAACCGTGCAAACTATGAAAACCGTACAGAAATCTTGGACAACAGGGAAACCATGGAAACCGCAGACAAATCATGGAAACCATGGAAACCATGGAAACCGCAAAGAAATCATGGAAACCGTGGAAACCATGGAAACCGCAAAGAAATCATGAAAACCATGGAAACCGCAGACAAATCATGGAAACCATGGAAACCGCAGACAAATCATGGAAACCATGGAAACCATGGAAACCGCAAAGAGATCATGGAAACCATGGAAACCGCAGACAAATCATGGAAACCATGGAAAACCATGGAAACCGCCAAGAAATCATGGAAACCATGGAAACCGCACAGACATCATGGAAACCATGGAAACCATGGAAACCGCAAGAAGAAATCATGGAAACCATGGAAACCGCAGACAAATCATGGAAACCATGGAAACCATGGAAACCGCAAAGAAATCATGGAAACCATGGAAACCATGGAAACCGCAAAGAGATCATGGAAACCACAAAAACCATGGAAACCGCAAAGAAAGTATGAAAACCATGGAAACCATGGAAACCACACAGATATCATGGAAACCATGGCACAGAGTGTGTCGCGTTTCAAAATGAGTAATAAAGTCGCGTTTCAAATTGAGTATTATCCCGCGTTCTAAAACGAAACCTTCCCTCAATCAACTACCAGCATGCTTCATCCGAGTCACACAAAGCAACCCATGAAGTGTTTGGGTAATGGGCTCCATGCGAATGCAATAGAGATCACCCCCAGGCACACTGCAGGGACCATTCAAGGAGAGTGGTGCAGGAGCCAGCTGGGCTTGAGCAAAGACCCGGCAAAGCTCGTACTCTTTTTGGGCGAAATCATCCAGCATCACCTTCACAACCTCCCCAGTCTCCTGCAATCTGGGACCATCCGTGGCTACAGGTCCCCACTTCATGTCTTGAGTCTTGAGTCTTGACGTGGCTCCCAATATCCAAATTACGCGGAAAATGAGCCATAGCCTCCATGGCCGGCTCCTCCTCCAGGAACACAATGCCGATGAAGCCGCTGCCCAGAACACGCAGCGCTCCCGTGGGACAGAGCAATGAGGATGGAGAGAGGGAGGCTACGGCCCGGACAGGGTCGAAGGCATGCTCTTCCATCCTTAGCCAAGTGAGTATACAGTATGAAGGCCATTAGCTGCTCGAAAAATAGGATGGTTGCTGGGAAAAGCAATTTTTAATTTCAATCATATTCAATATTTATATACATTCTTCAAAAGTGGGAGTGGTTCCCAAGTTATGCCGAGTCATGCCAACTCCTGCTCAATCAAATTTCAATCCAAGCCAACCCCCCATATTTGCCAATGGCTCAGTGCGGCGCCATCAAACCCTTTTTCAACGCGCCGGAGGTCAATTTTTGGTGATCTATGGCCTCAGCCTCCAGCCATCGGCGATCTCAGGAAGCCCCACATGAAGCTGGCGTCGGTAGACCTCTCCCAGACATGGTTGGGACGCCAGAGCCACAGGTGTCACCCCATGGCGCAGTAAGAGCTGATGAAGCTGCAGCTCCAAAGACATGGGATCCTCTAGAGTTTGGGATTCCACGTTCTTACCCCCCCAAAAAAAAACACAACCAACATCCAATAAATAAACAAGCATAATTACAGTGTTTATAATTAGCAATATTATTTGGTGCCAAATATTTGGCCTTGATGTCCAATGGAAAGTAACCATCCACCCGGTCCTCCAAGACGCAAAAGCTGGGCTGCTGATAAAGCACTCGAGCAATGCCCAGTCTTTGCTGCTCATCGCGCGTGAGGACATCTGGCCAAGATCTGCGGGCGAACCAACCATCGGCTTCTCTGGTGAGGAGATGGTCTATCTGTGTGGCAATCAAACATTGGCGCATCCGATGCAGTTGTGGAGACTCCGAACTCTCTCCAGCGATCTCACACTGCAGTTCAGTGCCACCAATGACCCGGTCTTGAGGCCTGGCAACGGCTTTGATGGTATCTTCAAAGGTACTGAAGTGGACGAGCCCCTTGCGATCACCGCCTTCCACCACCACCTGGCAACTGGAGGCTCCCAATCGAGCAAAGTGTTGTCGCAGCTCAACCTCACTGATGTGTTCATGCAGCAACGGCACCTGGACGGTGAAGGGCGCATGGGATGGCAGGCGCAGCTGCACAGGATATGCCAGCTGGGCCAGCAGCCTGCAATGGCCGGGCACGTATGGCTCCTTGCTCACCAGCATCAGCGTCTGCCGTGGCATCATGGTGCTGCGATTCATCCCCAGCAGCAGCTGCAGCATGGGTTGCTGATATCCACTGGGGCCGCAGATGAGCAGCGGCTGCTTCACAGACAGGTCAAAGCGCAGCCCATGCGCAAGCAAAGTTAATCCATCTTCATCCAGCAGTTCCTGCACTGCAAATGGCACATGGAAAAAATGGGTTGTGAAAGAAAGGAATGCTCCATGGATTCAACAATCTACCCTTGCAGTATTTCAAGTTAGAAGTTCAATGAAATTCCAGAGGAAGGGAATAGTAAGCAGACCGACCAACATGCTCAAGTGTTTTTTGATCGTCTTTATATGTCTTTAATATAATCACGTACAAAATCAAAACACCATCAAAACACCGCTCTCGAAGTCTCCTCCTCAAAGAACTGCAGCACGCCATTCGTTACCGTCGCCGGCAACGCATTCGCCGCATTCGCCACGGTCTCCGTCTCCGTCTCCGTGGCCGCCGTGGCCCGAAGGCGGCCCGTTGGGCCCGTGGTCTCCACGGCCATCACCAGCTCCAAGCAGCGCAGGCTCTGGGCGTCCAGGCGCCCAAATTTCTCCACCATCTTGGAGAGCTGCTGCACCGCTATGAAGCTGTTTTGCATCATCCTGGGGATTTTTTAGGATTTTTTTTGTTCAGAAGTGCATACATATGTACAAGATCTATATTATATATATATCTATCTATCTATCTATCGATCTATCGATCTATCTATCTATCTATCTATCTATCTATCTATCTATCAAAGTTATATTATATATCAAATTTATATACATATATGATGTGTGATTGTGTGTGATTAATATGCGTGATTCATGAATTTGATTCATATGTGGGATTCATGAATGTGATGTCCAAAGGTGCGCCAGCCACTTGCTGATGGATCGGTTTTGGGCCATCACTTTCGCCCTCTCTCTATCTCTCTATCTATTTACCTACGGACCTACCTTTACATCTATCTATCTGTGATCTATCATCAAATCTAATCTAATCTAGTCTATCCAATCCAAACCAATCTATCCTCCATCCAGCCATCCCTCCATCCATCCATGTCCATGTCTTTGTGTCTTCCAGCCATCATTTAAAACAGAAAAAACACCCAAGCCACCCAAGCGCCCCAGTCCTATCCAGCAAAAAAGTCTCGGCCAAGTCCATGGATTCACCGGAAAAGCTATCAACTTTAAACGACAGCCAGCGAAGAACCCAGGATGGCATCTGCTGAAAATCTCCCAGCGTCAACGCCAAGCGATACAACCCCCAGGACGGCAGCTCAATGTCGGCCTCGATCAACGCCTCAAACTGATCCTCCAAACTTTTGTTGCCTTGTGAGTGCGAGTTCTTCTCGTGGTTTTCCCATGCGTCACAGCATTGAAGTAATCTCAGCAGCAAGAAATGGGCCACAAAGAGCAGTGACCAACCTTGCTGGTTCATCGATCCTTTTTAAGTTTAATAAATTTCACCCGTGTCTTTACCCTTCTCACTCATCAAACATCTACAAAATAAAGAAAGCCACCCAACAAAAATTCTCTAAGGGTGGTTGGCAATCCAGCAACTGTGCAAGTTTCGCAGCAGCAGCGGTGCCAAAAAAATCAGCTGTGACGCAGCCAAGAGCGCCTCACAGGCGCTGGAGCCTAAACCCTCGAAGAGATGTTGGATCTCTGCCAGTCGCTGCATGGGCTCGGAAACCTGGCAGGTGCGCCAAAACTGGGGGAGTACCAGCCCATGGCCGCCATGGCCTTTCCCAAGTCCGGAAGAAAGTTCGATGAGTTGGATGTTCTTAGACTTTGGGACCCCTAAACCATTGGGCTTCGACTGAAAATGATCAACTTTGGATGATTTTGAGGTTCTCTGTATCTAAATACACCAATTTGTTCAGAGAAAAAGAGAATTGGATTTGATGCTCCGAAAAAACTGATTAGACCCCAGACACTTCACCAGGGTTTCGTTTGGTGGGTGATGTGGGCCTATCATATTGGGGGGATGGGGCTACCTCAAAATAGCCGACACCATGAGAAAAAAACAAGTGTTTTCCTATTAAATCAAAATTACCTCCATCATTGTCTCTCGGTATTTCCAATGTCACTTGCATAGCAGCTAGCATTGACGTTCATAATTCATAATGTGTCCATCATGCTGCACATTGGACACTCTGTCCACAAAAAAAATAAATGATTTGAAATGTGGAGTTAAGATTACTTTTTAGATTAGTTTAGATTAATTGAATTTATCTGATATAAGTTAGGGCAGATGGTTTGACCACTCCCCACCTCCTGGCTAACGCGCAGTAAGGTATGCTCCCGGAGCAACTTCCGCTGCAAATGACCCATGGCACCACTCCAGAGCTCCAGGGTGGCCAGTTTGGCCTGATATCGGAGCACCTGATCTGCAAAGCCTCCTGTCACCGCTAGCACTGCACCCAAAAGTAGCTCTTTGGCCATGGCACTGGGCTTCGGTGACAGTAAGGCTTTCAGAGAACCCGAAAGAGTCTGACAGAATCGCCAGTAAAGATTGGTCCGGGCATGGAGTAGTAGCAACATCAATCCCACTTTCTGCAAGATCGTTCGCCTTCGGCCCGACGTCAAAAGGCCCAGCTGCAGAGTGGCCCAGAGCCGTGCTGACGCACTCCTCCAGCGTGACTTCACTGCAGCGGTGGTGCGCCGATACAGCTCCTGGCTCAGCCCCTGGCCGAACCCAGCATGCGCAGTGTGCGCGTGCCCTCCACCAGGCGTTTCCGCTTCCCGCAGCTCCTCCGGTTTTGGCTTCGCTGCTTGCGCCGTGGCCTTCGGATGTCCATGGTGCCCATGCTCCAGGGCATCCAGCCTGGCGTACAGCTGCTTCACTCGACTGGTGGCTGGAGCACAACTCATTAACAGAGTTCGAGAGGACAGGAAGGCATTCCAAGCAGAACACACGATGAAGAAGTTCTGAACCTGAAGCAAGTGCTGCCCAACCACGTGCGCTTTTTGCTGAAAGCCATCTCCAGATTTCAAGGGAGATCGGGATCCAAGCATTGCAAAAGCAAACGCGGCCAGTTCAAGCAAACTTGCAGCCTGGGTAGCGTGTAGAAACAGCCATTCAGTCATCTCTACGGGAAACATGAGGCCATAGAGCCTGCGTGTAATGGCAGACACATCACGAAGAGCTTTTTGTAGAAGATCTAATTCAAAAGCCTCGCCCTGCATCATCAGGATGGTATCTGACCGTTGCTGGACTCTGAAAAAGTGCTGCTTCAGCCTGGCTTCAAAGTGTTGGAGCGAGGTCTGGACGGGCTTGTGATCAGCAGGATGAGTCCCCAATACAATCTTCACCGCCAACAGAAAGGCAGCAGGAGGA